ACACCACTAGCACCACCACCTTCACACCACTAGCACCACCACCTTCACACCACTAGCACCACCACCTTCACACCACTAGCACCACCACCTTCACACCACTAGCACCACCACCTTCACACCACTAGCACCACCACCTTCACACCCACCACCACCACCTTCACACACACCACACACCACCTTCACACACACCACACACCACCTTCACACACCACACACCACCTTCACACACCACACACCACCTTCACACACCACACACCACCTTCACACACCACACACCACCTTCACACACCACACACCACCTTCACACACCACACACCACCTTCACACACCACACACCACCTTCACACACCACACACCACCTTCACACACCACACACCACCTTCACACACCACACACCACCTTCACACACCACACACACCACCTTCACACACCACACACACCACCTTCACACACACCACCTTCACACACCACACACACCACCTTCACACACCACACACACCACCTTCACACACCACCTTCACACACCACCTTCACACACCACCTTCACACACCACCTTCACACACCACACACACCACCTTCACACACCACCTTCACACACACCACCACATTCACACACCACATTCACACACACCACCACCTTCACACACCACACACCACCTTCACACACACCACCACCTTCACACACCACACACACCACCTTCACACACCACCTTCACACACCACACACCCCACCTTCACACACCACATACACCACCTTCACACACACCACCACCTTCACACACCACACACACCACCTTCACACACCACACACACCACCTTCACACACCACACACACCACCTTCACACACCACACACACCACCTTCACACACCACACACACCACCTTCACACACCACACACACCACCTTCACACACCACACACACCACCTTCACACACCACACACACCACCTTCACACACCACACACACCACCTTCACACACCACACACACCACCTTCACACACCACACACACCACCTTCACACACCACACACACCACCTTCACACACCACACACCCCACCTTCACACACCACACACACCACCTTCACACACCACACACACCACCTTCACACACCACACACACCACCTTCACACACCACACACACCACCTTCACACACCACACACCCCACCTTCACACACCACCTTCACATACCACACACACCACCTTCACATACCACACACACCACACACACCACCTTCACACACCACACACACCACCTTCACACACCACCTTCACACACCACCACACACCACCTTCACACACCACATACACCACCACATTCACACACCACCTTCACACACACCACCACCTTCACACACCGTCTGTATTCTCATCCCTTTCCTCCTGCTACGTCTTCCGGAACGTCCTCGCCATCCTCACGTAGACATCGTCATCCCGCGGAGGAGTGCGGTGGGGGTTCGGCTCCCCCGGGCCCCGCGCTCTGCGGGACGGAAGACAAAGGCAGCCACGCCGTGCATTAGCGACCCCTCCCCCGCCTCTCTCCCTCGTCGCCTCCTCTCCCTCCCCCACCTCCTTTTATCTCTTTCCCCATCTACATCCTCCCTCGCCCCTCTCCATCACGGACTCTATACCGAGCTCTCCGTCTTCCTCCCCCCGCCTCTCCACCCCATCCCCCTCCCTCCCTCCCTCGTCTCCATCTCAAATCAGCTCCTGGTGGTGCGCCCCTGCGACGCGGCGCTGTGGAGGCGAGGGTTGTCGGATCACGGAGAGATTTGCGAGCCTCCCAAACGCGTGGGTCTGCGAAGTGTCACGTGCAGGAGACGGCAGCAGCACAGCAAGTGGGTCGGTGAAGCAGGCTGCGGACACGCGATCCCTCGTACGGGTGCAGGAGTTGTCCCTGGGTTCATACACACCAAAGCCAAACGAATTCAAATTGTCCAACCATCCCAATGTAGCAGGACCCTCCGGAAAAAAAGTCCCGAGACTCCGTCCGGTGTTTCTGGGTAAATTAAAATGAGAATCCCCACGCGCCTCCCGCCCTGCCCCCCAACCCAGACGTCACGCTCCGCTCACGTGAGCGCGAGGGTCTTTGTCAGCGCTTGGCTCCGCCGCGCCATTAACGCGAGCAATTAACCCGGGTAATTAGTAGGGGGCGATGACGAGAGTGGGGGCAGGGCATAGTGGGTGCGGAGGAGCCCCCCTCTCTCGAGAGACTGCCCCCCCCCCCCCGATCATAACGACTCGGAGATTCGAACAGCCCCGCTGGTCCCAGTCACCCACCTCGTGACGATCCCGAGCCTGTTCCGAACGTTCTCCCGAACCCAACGAGTCGGCGCCCCCTACGCTCTCCCCCCACCCACCCATTACCCCCCACAGCCCCCCCCCCCCACCACTCCCACATTAATTACAAACATAACAACACGGACATGTGCAGCGCGCTGCCCGGCACTTTTATTCGTGAATCACGCGGGAGGAATCGCTCTCGCTTTCTCCCCCTCCAACTGATAATTAAACAATAAATAACGGGGAGGGGGGTGCGTGCGTGATGAATGGGGTGCGTGCCCCCGCTCACCTGTGCCCCCCCCCCTCCCCAGCTGCCGCAGGTAATGGATGCTCGCGGTGCGCGCTGCGCGGCCGGATAACGCGGCGCTGATGGTTTATTTAAGCAGCAGACGCGATGGATGAGAGTTCCCCTTCTTCATCATCTTGTGGCGTCTGCGAGTGTGGGGGGGGGGGGCGGTGGAAGGGGGCGGGGTAAGTGGGGTGGGGTCCGTGCCAGCATAGTGACACAAAGACAAAGGTCCCCCCTATAGCCTTCAAGAGACTGTTGGAGCAAGGCGAGTGCTGCGAGCGAGCACCAACATGACAGTTGGCCGCTTTCGTCTCCCCAGTGCTGATATTGACACACCGCACCAGGTACTTTCTTTAAGGCGTTTACATATATACACAGACATACACAACAAAGACACACACGGGCTACATACACGCATATAGACCTCTACATTCACAGATTTGGTGGTGACATTGCCACGGCACCTGTGCCAGGCTGGGTGCACGTGAAGTGTTGAAGGCTCGCTGGCAGATCACGGGAGAGACGCAGGTGCCATGACTGGCCGAGATGACTGACAGATTCACCACCTGGGCTCCTCACTGTGCTAAGACTCTGCGTCCACCAGCCCGGCGCTCCGCTCGTTGTTGTGAGCGTCACTCCTCTGCCCACCGCTGTTGCTGGAGGCTGACTGCCTCCAATTGCTCAGTAGCGTCCTTCGTGAACCTCCTCCACAGAGGACGATCTTAACACCACTCTCACCAGTCAACAGAAAATCAACTCCGCCATAAATCCTTCTGTACCACATCAGTCCATCTCTTCCCTAGCCTGTGCCGCGCCGGTTTAGCCCCCTCCGGCCAAGCAGAAGCTGGTTGGGCATGCGGTGGGTTAGGCATACAGGCTACATGACCCAGCCAACGCAGCTCGATTATGTGACTGTCCAGATTCCTCAATGATCTGTGATCTACTCAAACGGTCCAGTCTGGTAAAACCCAAGATGGATCGTAGGCAGGCTAGTCTTAATGTTTAATTCCGGTGCAGATGTTATTTTAAAGAGCTCTACATTTAAACTTGATTTGGTACTTTCGTGACTGCAGGAATTACTCTGTTTTTTTTTCGGTAAAGTCACGTAGAAATAAGAAATAATAATAAAATTACATAATAGCATACGATGTTTCGATAGCAACGCAAGCAATCATCATCACGTATAGAAGAGCTTAATTTCAAAGAGAGGAAACGCAGAACCTCAGATATATACAGACACCTAAGTAGAGGGCGTTAACACAGAGACACAAAGAGACACAACGTATGGAGCACAGAAAGACAGGGTCTCTGTGCCGAAGCCTTAGCATGTAGGGGGGACAAAGAGATGGAGAAGCACATCAAATAGAACAAGATTGAGTAAAATTTGGAAACAATATAATGCAGCACAGAGGGTCGGTCAAAACACAATTAACGCATGGTCTGGCTGATTACGTTATTTCAAAGATTGCTAAATTATAGGTTAAGAGTGATAGAGTACAGATCGTAGACACATAGATATCTAAGCAGAAAGAGTTAGCACAGAGACACACAGCCTAGAGAAGGGAGGACCTAACAGTGGCCGAAAAGACCCGGAGCTTCGTAGGGAGCGATAGGCCAGATAAGCTCTCACACAGCGTTACACAGCAAATGAAAATATACCGCTCGACTTCAGAGACCGTTGCCAAACCGGAGCTGGTCACTGCCCAGGAACGGAAACTTCTCCACTCTCTTCACAAACGGCCCATCACTCATGGGAAGTTCAGGGGGTGGAGTGTTTGTGGCACATAAAATTCCCAGGAAAATCCTTTGTTTTTGTGGGGCTGATGGTAAGGCCCCATCTCATAGCAGCATCCTCCAGGTTTAGCACTAACGTCTCCAACCTCTTCTCAGGAGTGAGCAGCAATTACCAGATCATCAGCATGCATACATTGCTGACCAAGAGAAAGCCATCCCTTGACCGCATCGATCAGCCACCCATTGTATATGTACCAGGTGGAAATTCCGCCGGTACAGCCATGGACAGCGTCTCGTGTGGGGGCCAGGGGACATCCCTGTCGTACCTCAAGGTGAACAGGGAATGCCTCTGGCTCCCGCCCACGTAGGTTTACCGGGGCTTGGCCACGACCACGTAGGCCCTTAAATGATTGTGAGCAGAGGGTCAGGGCCCGCAAAAGCACAACGAATAACCCAGAGCCCTGGCCTATCCATGGTATCATAGGCCTTGACCTGGTAAATAAAGCACAGACGTAGGTCTTATGGGAATTCTCTACACCTCTGCTGTAGCAGACTGACAGACCCACACAGACAACACATACACCCAAACCTCTACATACACACACAGACTTCGACATACAGACATTTACACACTCGGACACACAGGTACACCTCCCAGGCCCACGCGCCCCACGACCCTGCTTGGCACGGTACTAGTGGTCAGCATTTGGAGTTTATTTTTAAGAAACACGATTGGGTTCTGCACGGTTGGGGGGAGGGCTTTACAAAAGGGAGTGAACGTACACACGCACGTAGACAAGTAGACGCACGCATACACGTAGACACTTACACACGTACATACACGGAAACGCACGCAGAGGTATGCGCGCTGCGGGTTGTGCATAACGCGTCGTACGCGACCCGGTGTGGTGTGCGGGGTGTGCGCGACGCACGCGCACGCACGCACGGGCAGGCGGTGGCGACGCGGTCCGTGCGTCTCGTGCGCTCTGTGGCCGAGTGTGCGCTGTGCGTGCCGAGCCGTGCCCTCGGCGCGCTCGGTGCAGCCCCGCGGTTCATCGCTGGCGCCACTGCATGCGGAGGGGTTTCAACTGCCGTGGTGAGAGATCAAATAAAATCTAATGCCTCTGGATTGCAAGCCCAGTGGCCCTGCTGCTGCGACTGCGAGCCATCGCACCATTGTGGCAGCACCCCCTTGCAGTCATTGCCAGTGGCCGTGTCAACTGTGGGTGTGCTCTGGACGTGGTGTGCTGCTAACAAATCGGTGTGCTGCTAACAAATCGGTGTGCTTCGTGCGAGCCAGCCACCCAGACCCCTGATGCACACGCAGTCTGCAAATACCCGCATGCGATTGTCGGCCATGATGCTCCCTCAGTCACGTGACCCCCCCCACCCCAGGACCCCTCCCCATCCACCAGGGCCCCCCCCGTTTCCCACCCACAACAGTCTGTGGCCGAGCAGGCCTCATCCTTCTTGGAGAAAACCGGCGGCGAGCGTCCATGTTCTACAGGCAACGTCCTGCGGATTTCAAGGCGCGTGACAGTGTCAAATTCTCTCAGTGTCTTCACCAGGCTCCCCCGCCACCCCCCACTCCCACAGGAGCGGCGACTCCGAGGTCGAGTGGCGACGCCGACGAGGTGGGCCGTCCGTGCGGAGACGGAGCCGAGCTCGTCCCGGAGTCTCTCCACTCCCCCAACTCGGCCTCTCAGTTTGCGGGGTCCCCCTCAGGCTGCGGTGAGCGGCGGTGCCGCGCTGACGGCACCATGCCGAGTCTGCGTGGAGTCTGCGTGGAGTCTGCTTGGAGCTGCGTGGAGTCTGCGTGCAGCTGCTGGCACCGTGTGGTGCGCCGGCCGTGGCGCTGGCACCGGACGGTGCCGCTGGGCTCGACGCGCTCCATGCGGCACCGCTACAATACAAACGCCTCTGCCGTAACGGGGTTAAAATATTTGGTGTAAAAATCTTTGCGAGCAATGTATAATCTTGTTGTGAATATATATCTATCTATCTCATTTTCTTTTTCGTGATGGCCTTTGGGATTGAGGCAACGTATAAATGGCTCATTTTCCAAAAAGTATCGTTCAGTAAACTGTGGACGATTGTTCTGCATCTTGGCTCAGAATGACGTCCCCATCACTCCTCCTCCCCTTCCTCCTCTTCCTCTTCTCTATGGCCAATATCCTCTGCTCCCCTCCCCCACGTCCCTTGCCGTCTGCGCCCGCCGGAGCAGCGGCCGGGCTGCCGGGTCAGCCCTCCGCCCGGGGGAGCGGTGAAACGGCGGACGGTGGTCGGCAGATCAAGGGCTCCACCCGCCCACGACAAGCCCGGGTCCCACGGGGAAAACGGGCGCTCGCAAACGCGGTGATTTCAAGTCGCCGCTCGCCATCGCAGCTTTCGCCGTGAAACTTCTGAGGTTCCCTTTGAAGCGCGGGGAGAAAAGAGCGGCCTTCAAAGCGTCCTCGTGCGACAGCCCTTGATCGCTTGCGTCAGCATTAAGATGTAATCGCGACAACAACGATAACGATGGAGACGATGTTAATAAAAAAAATTGTCATGACATTCCGTCGAGGGGAGGGACGACACCAGGCTCCGTGGGGGCGACGGCTCGGGCGGCGCGGGGTGGAGCGAGCGGCGGTCACCGCGGCGGGGCCGCCGGGCTCGAGGGAGCCACCGTCGACGCCCTCGCCCTACGGCGGGGGGTCGTCAGGGCGCCGCCACTGCCCGTCGGGGGTCACTCCCCGTGGCCCCCTGAGGGCGCGGGGGGGGGGAGGGGCTCGGGGCTCGCTCAGACGGTCAGGAAGAGCAGGGCGGCCGTGGTCACCAGCAGCTGCGAGAGGCAGAGCAGTCGGGGCCCTCCTCCGCTCACGCTGCGCGAAGCCTGCGCCGTCGCCTGCCGGGACTCCTTGCCTCCCTCCGCTGGGGACGCGGAGACACGGAGAGACGCACCTCGTTAGACGAGCCCCTCGTCGTGGACCCCGTTAAACGAGCACCTCGCTGGCACGGTAGGTACACGGCCGTCGGGCGCGGTGTCGCTCGGTGGTGCGAGCCCCGGCCCAGCGTTCCCGTCGTTGCCACACATCGTTAGTGACGTCAATGCTCACCTCGCCACACATCGTTAGTGACGTCAATGCTCACCTCGCCACACATCGTTAGTGACGTCAATGCTCACCTCACCACACATCGTTAGTGACGTCAATGCTCACCTCGCCACACATGGTTAGCAGCACCACCACCTCGGATACAAATGCAGCGCCAAGCGCCCGGCTTCCCGCATGCACACAGAGGCAGGAACGTACACGCACCCGCGCCCACACGCACGCACGCACACACACAGATGCGTACAAGCACATGGACGCGCACAAATGGGAGGCATGCTTTTGTAGCGTGTTGTGAAAAGCACAAATCAAAGATGACGTGCGCTCGCACACGCACACTGGCTCACGCGCACACGCTCGCACACGCACACTGGCTCACGCGCACACGCACACGCTCGCACTGACCTGTTTGATTACCTTCAGTGACAGAATCACGATTAAACAAATCAGGCATGAGTCTGCTCGTGTCTAGAGCGGAAACACACAGACACAATGGAGTGAACGTCAATGCAGAAGAGCAATGCACTTCCCGACTGCACTAATAAAGAGAGAACTCGGCCACAACACCCACACGCAGACACGCACACAAAGGTCCCCTGTGTAGCCTTTAACAGACTCTTGGGACAAGTGCTTATTAGTAAGCGGCATCTATGCAGGCCGGCATAGCCGCACGAGGGTGTGGGTGGTAAACATCAACACGCCTGGCCGTGCTGATGTTTACACACACCACGACAAGTGCTCATTTGTTCAGGCCGAGTCTACCTAGGAGAGGCCCAGGGCCAATTAACATATTCACCACTGTTACTGTTGGCGAGCTGGAATCGAACTCGGGTTTCCGGGTTCGTAGCGCGGTGCGAAAACCACTGCACCGCCGCTCCCCGCACTGCACGCACGCATGCACGTACTCACACCCGTACATATCCATGCACACACATGCACCCACTGCACTTATGCACACACATACTTGCATGTGCGCACGTACACACAGGCAAATGCTCACGCACAATCACACACAGTTCATACGTAACACTCGGTGTGAGCGGCTGGAACATCAGAGCGGCGAGATTCGCGCAGGTTGGACACACGCAAGGTGCCTTGCTGCCCGAAAACAGCAGCAAGGCACCTTGCGTGTGTCGGAGCGACGCCTGGCTGAGCGACACCTCGCTGGCCGCGCAGTGGCATTTGAGTGACACGGAGTAAGCGAGCGAGGTGTCACACAAAGGGGGAGAGAGCGTGTGCCCGCAGGGGGCTCTCGGCCGATAGTTCCTTTCGAACCGAGACGGCGTTAGCGCCGCAGCGGGTCCCCCACCTGCGCGCAATCACGGGGTTAATCCACGCCGCAGGGCGACGGGGAAGGTGGAGGAGGTGGGGGTGGGGGCCTCACCGTTAGCGCAGCAGACGGACACCTTCAGCCTCAAACACTTCTTGGAGTTTCCGTTTCCAAGAACGGCTGTGAACACACCGCGCACACGGACGCGTTAAGAGGCTTCGCGTCTCGACCGACGGGGCAAACGCGGGGTCTGGCGAGGAGCGCGGGGAGGGGTGAGGGGGGGGGAGGGGAACGGTGGGACGCAGGCTGTGATCTCCGCACCCACGGCGCGCTCGCTCACTCGCCGCACATAATGAGCGCTCGGCGGACAAAGGGGACCCCTCGCGGGGACGCGCGGCGCGTTTAGCCGACAAAACCGCCGCGTCCGGCGTGCGTAACTCGCTCCGACGTGCGCTCAGATCTTCTGAGCCGTGGAGCAGGGAGGCCGTGCCGCCCCACGCACCCCGCCCCCCCCTCACCGTCCGACGCCTCCAGGGCTAATCATCCACCGCCCGCCGGGGACGAGCGCGGGATGCCGCTTAGCGCCGCCAAATAAAAAAAAAAGATTCCGAGAAAGCCTCCGTGTCAGGACTCCGCCAATTAGGGCGGGCGCGCCGAGACGCGTGAAAGGCCTCTAAGTAATCAAAACTGGGAGGTGGTGGTCCCCGCAGCTCGTTAGAGAGGAGGCCTTGTTAGCCGCGCTCCGGCGCTGTGCGTGGAGGCGGGAGGCCCCTAATGAGCTTCAGCGCCGGCAACGCCACACGGCGTATGGCGGAGGATGGCGTCGGGATGGGCCGTGGTGGCCCGGGTTCGGGGAACGTGCGACGCCGCGACGCTATTGGCCGTCGGCTCATGAGGCCGAGATTGAGGAACGTGGGTCATGTGACCCCGGCGCGGCCGGGCAGCACACAATGCCGGTGTGGCGCGGTGACGCGGTGCGGTGCCCCGATGCGGTGTATTGCCGGGGAAGACCACTATTCTATAGCGGTCGTTGTCGTGCGTTTATACGCAGCAAGGAGACGTGCATCAGTGTCTTGCCGTACACGTCCCCTCGCATCCCCGTGTGTATCCAAACGTCTCCGTTTGCCCGTGTACCCGTGTGCCCCCCGTGCCCCCCGTCTCCCCCCCCCCCTCGCCCCGAGTGCGGACTCACAGATGTAGTAGTAATCCCTGCCGGGCAAGAACTCCGCTCCCAGCGAGAAGGGCGTGTAGAGCTGGATCTTCTCCACGTACTTGAGGGGGTCGTGCGGCGTGCGCGGGCGGTCACAGTTGAAGCGCTTGAAGCCCGGGCGCGAGGTGTCGCACGCTCGGTAGCCGCCCGCCGGCACCAGGTGGATCAGGTGGCTCTCCCACTCGCCCCCCGCCGGGAGGGAGGCGGCACCCCCGCGGCCCGCCAAGTAGTGCGGGCAGTAGAACTCCACGTAGTCGCCGATCTTCACCTCCAGGGTGTAGTCGCTCCGGTAGAGCCTGGGGGGGCGCGGGTGGGTGGGGATAGGGGGGCAGGTTGTGAGCGTACGGACGCGTGGTACCGCCACCCAGCGTGGAGCGGTGGTGCCGCGGCGGTTGGCGCACCGCGCCGCGAACGTGATGACCAGAGTTCGATTTTCGCGCACGGTTAACGTCAGCGAGCGACTGTCAGAACCGTTTCAGAGTTCCTCCGAGGTCGACTCGGCCTTTAACGGGTCATCCGGTGCGGTTCCCGTAAGCGGTCAGCGCCAGGGTGGACGAATAGAGGGCGGTGCGGCGACGGTCACGGCGTGTCCCCTCGTGCGCCGTGCCCGCCCTCGCAGGCCGCTCGCTTCTGGAGCGGCACTTGCCCCAAGGCTGTTAAAGGCCACACGGGGGATCTTTGTCTCGCAGTGCACATCGCACACCTCGGTGATTAATGGCCGGAGCTCGCCCAGCGCCCAGCGTAACGCACCGATACACACACACACAATCACACAGATTGCCCTTTCAGACTGACTAATGCGCGGGCAACTTCCCTTATCGAGCACCTATGAAAGTCAGCTCGGCGTGCACTGAGGGAGGTGGGGGGGAAGGATTTCGGGGGTGCCTGCACGCATGCCCGGCTGCCTTTGTTTCCCCATTGCTCACAAAGCGCGGCCGTGCAGTTCGTCATTTTAGGCGGAGCCACATGCAGCAGCAGGAGCAGCAGGAGCAGCAGTAGCAGAGACCCGGCACAGGAACAGGAATGAAATTGCAGCAAATACAAAAGTGGCAGCCATGTGCACGGTTTGGAATACAGCCGGGGGGGAACTGCTCAGAGTTTTCGGGCGGTACACGCCTGATAACCGCACAACTACTACACCACCACCCACCGCACCACCACGCAACAACGCCACCGACCGAACCGCTACACAACATCCACACCGCCACAACGACCGCAACACTAATCCGGTCGCACAGCGATTATCATCACAGGTACATCGGATATCACGCAGGGGGCAGTTCCCATAGGTACCACTCGCGCGCTCTTGCGGAACTCGTAATCGAGATTGGAACCGGTGTGGGTCAGCGGGCCCTGGGAGGGTCGGAGGAGATGTTTTAGGGGTGGGCCCCCAGGGAGATGGAAGGGGATGGGGGGGGGGGCAGCCCACAATACGCTGGGAGGCGCGGGGATCAAAAGAGATTTGTTTAAAAACCATTTGAACAAAGCATTCCCACAGTCGCCACGGAGACGCCATCGCCAGGACAATACAGGTCATGTGACTGCAGCGTTTTGTGAAGCTGCGGCAAGGAGCACTGAGCGGGGGTCAAAGGTCGATCTTTTGGAGTCTCCCCTCCCCCCTCCTGCCCGTCCCACATCCCCTATGCTCCCTCTCGAGGAGGATAATGAATGGCAAAGCAGTCGACCCCCAACGCTCGCCCTGCCATCAACCAAGGGGGTCGCCGGCAATTTGTCTGCGAGACGAAGCACAAACGTGGCCTGTCACAAGCACAGCCCATCGCACGCGGGGCCCACCGCACACGGGGCCCACCGCACGCGGGGCACACCGCCTCTGGACCCACCGCCCTGGGGCACACCGCCCACTTGAAAACACTCCACTGGACTCCAACACACACCAGGGCTCACCTCATTGGAGCATACTCCATTGCGCCACCCTGCACCCTGACACACACCACACCCTGGCACACACCACACCCTGGCACAGGGATGCGTGCTCGCACAAAAGGCCCGAGCACAACTCTCCCACTCGCGCGTTACAACCACAACAACAATAACGTGGGACACACGCCCCTCGGAAACACACATAGCTGCACGCTCACACACACACCGCGCACCACACCATCACGCAGCTTCTCGCACGTACACGCCCTCACATACGCACCATCAACTCAGTGGCGGTCACGTCACCACGGGGCTTGTGCCAGGCTAGGTGCACTTTAAGGCCGCGTGAAGTGCGGCCGACTCTCTGCTCGCAGGGTCACGGGACAGACCCAGGTGCTCGGGGTTGACTGGCTGAGAAGACCGCTTGATGTGCATCCCACTGTGCTCACTCCCACTCCCCAACTCACTCATACTCGTCTCACAAAGATCCTCCGTATAGACTGAATAGACTGTTGGGGCAAGTGCTGTTAGCAAGCACCTATGAAGTCCGACACGGTACGCAAGGGGGTGGGTGGTCATCAACACGCCAGACCACCTTTGTGTCTCCAGTGGCGATGTTTACACACCACACCAAGTAATTATTTGAGGCCAAGTCGACCTAGGGGAGGCCCACAAGCGGCTCAGATATTCGCTTTCACCGTTATTGGCCATGAATCGAAACCAGGTCGCCCGGTTCGTGCGGCGACGCACTAATCGCTGCGCCACCGCTCCGCTCACATCCCACTCACCCACGCTCACCTCACATCCCACTCACCCACACTCACCTCACCCCTCACCCACACTCACCTCACCCCTCACCCACACTCACCTCACCCACACTTACATCACATCCCACTCACCTCACACATCACCCACCCACACTCACCTCACACATCACCCACCCACACTCACCTCACACATCACCCACACTCACCTCACCCCTCACCCACACTCACATCACATCCCACTCACCTCACACATCACCCACCCACACTCACCTCACACATCACCCACACTCACCTCACCCCACACCCACACTCACATCACCCACACTCACATCACATCCCACTCACCTCACATCACCCACACTCGCCTCACATCTCCCTCACTCACCTCACATCCCACTCACCCTCACTCACCTCACATCCCACTCACCCGCACTCACCTCACACATCACTCACACTCACCTCACACATCACCCACACTCACAATCACCTCACATCTTCCGCACTCGCCTCACATCACCCACACTCGCCTCACATCCCACTCACCCACACTCGCCTCACATCCTACTCACCCACACTCGCCTCACATCACCCACACTCGCCTCACATCACCCACACTCACCTCACATCCCACTCACCCCACCCAAACTCGCCTCACATCACCCACACTCACCTCACCTCTCACCCACACTCACCTCACATCCCACTCACCCACACTCGCCTCACATCACCCACACTCACCTCACATCACCCACACTCGCCTCACATCCCACTCACCCCACCTACACTCGCCTCACATCACCCACACTCACCTCACATCACCCACACTCACCTCACATCACCCACACTCACCTCACATCCCACTCACTCACCTCACATCCCACTCACCCCACCTACACTCGCCTCACATCACCCACACTCACCTCACATCACCCACACTCACCTCACATCACCCACACTCACCTCACATCCCACTCACTCACCTCACATCCCACTCACCCACACTCACCTCACATCCCACTCACCCACACTCACCTCATCCCTCACCCACACTCACCTCACCCCTCACCCACCCACTCCGCGTCGTGTGACTGGCTCGCGAGTCGCTCGCACCGTTTGGATAATTTTACTTTCCCTGATCGTCTGTTAAGGGGGGGGGGTTGTTAATGCAAACCAAATTTTACCGCCGGGTAGCTGGGCGTGCGGCAGTGATTGTTGAGATTTTGTCTCCTCGCTCTGCCATCGGAGAGCTCGCGTGGCGACGGAGAATGAATAGAAAAAATTGGACGGGAAATGTGCCCCCTTTCCCACCCCCTCAATCGGCGTCCACTCGACGTTTCCTCGCACTCAGAGACACAACAGAGCGTCACTACCACGACCCACGCGCGGTGCATTCCCCTCCGTCCATTAGGATGGGGCGTGGGTCAAGGCGAGAGGAGGAGCCGCTATTGTCGCATTACAGCGCCTAAGGAGGTCGTCTCAGTCATAACAATCATCACAATACAGTAGCAGTAGTCGTCGTCGTAAAAATGATGACCGATCAAGCAGACATTCCGTTCGCTCTCACAGAGAGAGGGTGAGGACGAGTCAGAGCTCTGTAGTTTTATATTCGAGATGTCAATTTCAAAATTGTTCCTTCACTGGAGGAAGATTAAAACAATCCTTGATGAAGGTGCCCCAGGTGGTGGCTACAGCGAGTCACCACCACCACCAGCCTCGCACCACCACCACCACCAGCCTCGCACCACCACCACCACCAGTCAAGCCTCGCACCATCACCAGACAGCCTCGTGCTGTCCGCCACCACCCACGCGTTGCAGGCGCGCGGGTGGCGGTCAAGTTACCTTGGAGAGCTCAAATAAAGTCAACATTTGCGCTCATCTCGATGGACGGGACATGGTGGAGGGGGCGCTTTAACGACACCACGCCTCGCTTGTAAACCATCCGTCTCAATGAAAGACAATGAGGGAAACCTTTGACAGATCTCGATGAAAGTCAATAGAGCTCATTTGAATAGATTTATGAGAACGTCAATGGAGTGACGGTGAGGCCTCCAGGGAGAGGCCAACGCCGTTCGCTTCCAGGAACGTCGCGGGCGACGCTCTGCCGGTACCGATCTCCGGGAACGTCATCGCGGGTGACCTCCGTCAGAGTCGCCGTCGCCGCCCTCGACCGGCGCTCCACGCTGGCCCCGTGTCGTGCGGATCTCCGGGACGCACGTCGGTGTGGCTCATCTACGGACCGGATCTCCTCTTTGAAAATCGATGGGAGGTCACTTTAGCGACGACCCTCGATGAAAGCCAACGCTTGGCCCGTTCTGATCGACCGAGGAAAGTCACCGACGGTCAACTCTGATGGCGCTCTATTAAAATCAATGCGTGCGAGTCAGCGGGGACGGCCCAATTTAATAGCGTGCGTGGATATAATCCGACGGTCGCCCGCTTGCACAGGAGCTCCGTAGGAGTCACTGTCGCTCACCCTCACGAGGTATAATCTCTCTGCGAGCGTCGACGCATCTCTCACGGCTCTCTATGAATGTCTATCGGGTTTGGCGGTCATTGACTTGGAGGCAGATTTGAAGACTTCTCAATGTAGTTTCTCGGTAAATATCAATGTTTGGGGTCTCAGGGGGTGTGTGTGGGGGAGGGGGG